TTGAGATCGACATTTCACAGACTCCTGGGGCGGTGAAGATCTTACGCACTCTCTAATGAAGCATTTTCATTTTCTTTCTTTCTTTCTTTTTCTTTTTTCTTTTTTCTTTTTGGTCATAGACTGTAAGAAACATTTTACATCACAACCGTGCGCGCGCACGAACTGACACCATTTGCATGTGTGAGTGTTTGTAAAAGGAGGCAGGGCCAAGCTGCATCTTTCAAGGCTCATAATAATGATTTGTTTACTTGCATAATGCGTGTTTCCTAGGCCACACCAGCCGGATGGGAGAGCTGGAATCAGAACCAGCACAAGCTGTTCCTCTCTCACTCTGCTTTCATCAGCTCTCCCAGAATCTCCAGCTCCCCCACAAAGCCCCTGTCCAGTTTCTGAGGATGCCCAGGGAAAGTCACACACATGCTCCCAAACACACACCAGATCCTCATTTCCCTTCTCCTGTGCTCTGGCTCCTGCTGGGATCATCCGCCAACTCCTCTGTGGGGCTGTCACCGCTGCTGGGTCACTAGTGTTGAGCTGCTCCTGGTGGAAAGCCCGGTGACTTTGGTGATACCTGAGTTATGCACTTGCATGGGGACGCTGTTGGTCTTGTATCTCCAGTGCCACAGCACTGTCTGCAGTTCCTCACAGCACCCACCTGCAATGCCGCGATGCCCACTAAACTAGAGAGAACCCCCTCTGTGACAGGGATCCCAAGCAGATTCCTCTTACCCCTTCTAACTTACACACGTTCAAGGGCAGGAGGCTGAAAACAATCTTTGTCCCGTATTTAGAAGCACCTTCTTTTTCTCCAGCTCTGGACCTTGTCCTTGGACTGAGTTTCGATGTCGTAGTCTCACCCAAATTGGTGAGTTCTTTCTTTCCCAGGAGGATCCTTGGTTGCTTTATGCAAATAGACTCTTGGCAAGGCCACAGTCTGTCATCCTGCCCAGAAGTGCCTGCTTCCTAGAGTGAATACAGACTTAAGATAAACCCATTTTTATTTGAGAGCTTTGCTTCCCAGGTATCAGGAGTCACATGTTCAGAGTTCAAGTCCTGTTGCAGCAACGATGATGATGATGACAAATCTTTCCCATGTATCCCATACTAAACACTTTGGATACATTACTGGATTTAATTCTGCCAACAATTCTGTGTGATGTATATTATTATTATCCTCATTTTACAGAGGAGAAAACTATAGCTTAGAAAGCTTAAATTGTAGCCTGTAGTCACACGGCTGGCAAAACGCAGAGCCAGCCCTGGACCCACTCAGCTACTCCTCCAGGCTGGGCCTGGCATCGAGCCTTCCTCAGCCTGGCCTCCCAGACCCCCTGGGCCTCCTGCCAGCTCTGCTTTCATCCTTTCTAGGCCAATCTCCCAGGGTCCCCACCGCAATCCACAGGTGGCTTATCAAACCTTATCTAAAGGTGTCTGAGTTTGTGGAAACTCCTAAGCCTCCATCCTCCTGATTCCCACAACTCTCTGAGCCCAACCAGGGCTTCCTGGAGAAGGGGGACGTGTCATCAGCAATAAGAGCCCCCTTGCCAGGCCCCCTAAGACTTCAACATGGTAAACTGCTCTCCCTAGCCCCCTCCTCAGATCCAATCCTTCAGTCAGGACTTTGTCTTTCCTAAAAGGCAATTGCAATCTACATGACAGGGTTAACATTTTGCCTGATCTTAGTGGGTTAGTGGGTGTTTTCATTGAATAGGGAATTCAAGTCTGGGCTTTAAATGCCATAGAAAAAGAAAAAGTTACTGTCTTTTCAGAATGCCCATTGTAATTTGTCCTTAGAGTCCCCACTCCCCTCCCCATGGTCCTTTTTCCACTTGAGCTGACAAACTTAGCCACCAGATACATATAGCGGCAAAGTGAAGTTATGGATATGATTTCTTTCCCTCATCCATTTGCCCTTCTGGCTTACTCAAGTCAAAAATAAAAGACTGCTCACACTTTCTTTGACCATGTCTAAAGAGTACAAAGCCAAGGTCTGATCAAGCAATCTTGATAATTTGATACATTTGACGGGGAAACACAGGGAGCTAATGACCCTGTTTAACCGCATCGATCAGTTTAACCAGGTATCTGTGATGGTGTCACCCCATACAGAGTGGTGGCTCTGCTCCTAACCGTCCGAATGACCTCTCAGTAACTCAGTTTCCTCATCTATAACATTTTGGAGATCGAATCTGAGAACTCCAAGGTTCCTGAAAGTTCTCCGGGTCTTTATTTTATAATTACAAAATGCATCATTTACAAGTCAGATAAGTTAGGGGATGGGTGGTAAGAATAAAAACAATCCTCTATAAAATTTTTACCACATAATTATTTTTATGGAGCAAATTTCCACTGTGCACTTGAAGCAGGATGCAATTTACAAAAATCTGGCTTGCAGCCAACTTTTAAGTGACACTTTTACCATTTCAAGTAGGGCTTGCCCGTGGGTCACAGTCTAAAAACACTCTCATATACTCCCTCCCTCC